GGGGCGCGGGGGGAAACCACACAGCTCCTCGGCCTCGGGAAGGCAAACCTACGGCGCGCACGTAACGGAACCGTTAGGAGGTTCACTTTAAAATCGAGGGCAGGGCCGGATGGTCAGGCCTCCCCTTCACGGTCACTGTCGGGGGGAAGCTTCTCCTCTGTCCGCCCAGGTTCTCCAGCCACGTCAATCATCGAACCCACACGAGGCAGGTTAGCAGGAGAGCAGGTCCACGTGTAGGCACGGGGCACACCTCCTGCTCACGCAGGACGGGCGGGGACCTCTGAGCGACTCCCCGAGACGGCAGAGGCCACCCCGGTAACCGCCACGTGCAGCTGAGGGCCGGAGACGATGTCGGGGGGCTGGGGGCGGCTCCGGAGCGCAGGACACGGGGTCCTCAGATGCGTGTGGGGCAGGCACCCTGCCCTTCCCGGTCCCCGAGGGAGACCCCTCTGGAGCGGAGGTCCCCCCCAAGACGTAAACGCCGGATCACAGCGGGGGACTCCCCTTGGTTCTCGGGGATTCCCCACGGCTGCCGTTCTTTCCCGTTTATTAGCTTCGAACAATCGATATCCCCGGAGAGGCACGTCTCCGGGACGCACGCTCTGCTCCCCGTCACCCGGCTGTCCGGCCAGAGCTGTAAGACATGAAAAAGAACCTGAAAAAAAAGACTAGTAGGAAAAAAACCTATTTTGGGGGGGCACTGGGATGTTGGCCCCCAGAGGGACAGGGGAAGGAGCTCGCCCCACGGACGCGGGGGCTCGCAGGCTGGCGCGGGCGCCTGCGGTGGAGACGGCGCCGCACCAGCCGCCCGGGGTCGGGAATGGAAACGTGAAAACCCGCCCTCCTCGTGTCACCCGCCGAAATCGGCCCCCGGGGGGCCTGGAGACCTACCTCCGCAGAGAAAACCTCAGACTTTTAGGGAACATCGGCCTTAGGCCGTTCTCTCAGACACGCATAAGACCCCCAAACCCTGAAACGGGGCTGATGGGTCCACGAGAATTAGTTTAAAAACAGAAAAACTTAAAAACTTCTCTGCGTCAAAAGACACGTGAGCCGCCTGGCGGGAGGAGGCGTCTCGCACGTGGCCGAGCAGGGTCAGGGCTCCTCGCTCAGGACGAACATCCGGGTCCTGCTGGGCAAAAGGCCACTGAGCCGGGGTCTGGCCCCCAAATTCCCCCTCCATCTACCCGTGAAGAGGCTGCCTGCCGTGTCGGACCGGGGGACCCTCCTCCGGGCCACTAGACTATGCCCGGGAACGGTCAGTGTCCTGGAAAAGCCACAGGCAAGAAAATCACGGAAGGTTCTAGACGACCGGACACTGAAGGGGCCCGACAATGAAACGCAGGGCACCGGCCTCGCCCGCTCACCATCCCAACAGGAGGCACCGGGCACGTGCGCGTGGAGGCCCCGGGTCAGCCCTGCAATTGTGGCGACCTGGCCACGCAGGAGGAGGCACTCGGCTCGCAAGGCTCGGTCCTCGACTTCCCCTCTGCGCCCCGGGAAAGGGTGGGCGCCGGGAGCACAGCACTAAGTCGGAAAGGGGCCCGGCCCGGGAGAGTCGGGGTGCTCTGGGTCTCCGGGAGCAGGCACCCTGCCTGTGCCAGGGTCCTGGGGGCCCGTGGGGCGTCCCTGCTGGGTGCACCCCAACTTCTGCCCATCCCAGAATCCCGAGCAGCCCCCAGCCTCCTGTGTGCTGTGCTCCCGACCGGAGCCTACAGGGTTAAAGCCAGCGACCTACAGCTACCCTGCAGCGGCTGCCAAAATTCCAAGAGCACAGCTTTGGGGGTGGTGAGTGAGCTGAGAAAGGAAAAAGGGAGCGTGATTTTACTGACACACGATTTTTTAGCCATGACAGTGAATTATGTGTGCCTGGATGTGAGGAACACACGTTT